CACCTAGAAATCATCAAACATTCTCTTATCATTTATCTGTTCCCAACTTATATGACTTTCTTAGATGGTACCTAACAGAGGATATCAAGCAAAATGCTAAACCTGCTGTTTTCCCTACAAGTGAATAGTGACCTTGGCTGTCTCTGGGGCCCATCCACTTTCAATAAGTCCATTTATGTATTTCAAAAATTCTACTTCAGTCTAACAAATCAAGCCATGTAAATGCTTTTTCAATTGAAATTGTAGTGGTCTCTTTTTTGTAAAGTCAGACTAACAGACTTGTGAATGTAGCTCAGCTTCATCCAGCAAGCAGCTCAAATTTTCAACACTGATAGTAATAAGAATGTTTTTTAAAAGCACCAAATCAGTATATTAGAATGATTTCTGAAGGATATGACACTGTAGACTGGAGTAATGGCTGCTGAAAATTCAGCTTTACAAAATTACAAAAATAGACTTAAAATATATTTAAAATATCTTCAAATAAAAACGTTACTTTAAATCGTCATATTTCACATATTACTGTTACAGTATTTCTGATCAAATAATACACTCTCGGTGTGCATAAGAGATGAAAACATGGTAGTGTAAACATGCTGTATGAAAAAAAAAACAGCAGCTAGGACATTCTGCTTAACATCTGGTTTTGTGTCCAGAAAAGATTACTGAATGTTCATTTTTGTGTGAACTATCCCTTTAAAACAGTGTTTTTCCCCACTCACCTTTCCTCTCTCTCTCTCTCGCTCTCATCAGCAGTGATTTGAGGATCACAGTAATCAGCCAAACCCCAGGAGCCCCATTACAGACACACAGGGTTGTTACACAGCTATTGTCAGCCTTTTCTGTCTAAGTACACCATACACATCTCCTAGCTGCCTTTTTCCCCTCCCCACAGACATTACACACACACACACTTTTAAACTCTCTTTAATCCGAGAGACTGCTGATCTGAGTGGGTGTTCTTATATTGTCTTATATAGGGTTATTCCTCAAGGAGAAGCAAAGCCTCCTCTTTCTATTTATCTCTTTCTTCTCATCTAAAGCCATCTTTTCCTCCCTGCTCATCTCACCTTCTTTTCAGATTCCTTTGAACGAGTTCGGAGAGAGAATGCAACAGAAACCATTCTCTATTTAGACAAAAGACAGTCTTTTTTTGCCCCAATCTATGGCTTGCGTTCCTGCATTCCAAGGTATATTTTGGCTCTTCCTGTGTCTCCCGAGTTCCCTGAGGGAACCTGCGCCAGTGCCAGATGTGCTCCAGTAACATCTGGACCACAGCAGGGAGCACATGAATTTGAAGGGGCAGTTAATGACATGCCATGGGATGTTTAAACCACCGTATGCATCATTACATTACATGATTTAAAGTAATTTAAATGACTAAGGCATCTCTAAAATCTCTCAAATTGGGGGTTTAAAAAGTAGGGGGAATCTGGACTATGGGTTGTAACTGTTTTAGCTGTTTAAAACTGAATTTAACTTTAATTTAAAGTTAAATTCAATTTAAACAGTTAATGACCTACATGTGTGTAAATAAACACAGTGCAGCCTTTGAAATTTGACAATCATACTAAGCCATATCACAATTGCAATTTTATTTTGATTAATCATCCAGCTCTACCTCGAGGTAAATGTTTCTATCATTTACATGCCATTTTTAAGTGGAATATTAAGTGAAATAGTCTTTTTAGAAGACTTTAAGCAGTAAACACTTTTCAAACATGCAATTGTCTTAAAGGGGTCATATGATGTTGCTAAGAAGAACATTATTTTGTGTATTTGGTGTAATGAAATGTGTTTATGCGGTTTAAGGTTCAAAAAACATTATTTTCCACATAATGTACATTATTGTTTCTCCTCTATGCCCCGCCTTTCTGAAACGCGTCGATTTTTACAAAGCTCATCGGTCTGAAAAGCGAGGTGTGCTCTAATTGGCCAGCTATCCAGTGCATTGTGATTGGCCGAATACCTCAAGCGTGTGACGGAAATGTTACGCCCCTTACCATACTGTGATGCTGTGTCCCGGCCGGAGCGACGAGACAAAAACATTAAAACCCATTATAAACGAGTCATTTGTTGCATCCAGTGGGGACATAATTACGGATTATAATGACTTATACTGTCTTTTTACGCATTGCGTTGCATCGCGCCGCGTAAACATAAAACCATGTCTGCATTTGTGATCGGAGAAATGACAAACAACAAGCGCTACTCTACACTGCTCAAAACTCGCGGTTGAATCGTCAGTGGCAAATCCTTTAAATATGAAAAACGCACTTATCAGATCTTCTTTATGCACCAAGACCTTGTAACACTCCAAAGAGAAAAGAAAAATTTAAATCGCATCACATGACCCCTTTAAGTCATATATTGGAAAACAGCAATAAATGTTGCAGAATTATTCTGAAGTATTTTTGTGTTTCTGCCCATCTAATGGTTAACAGCTATGCACTGGTAAGCAAATGGAATTATCAGAGAAATTAAAACAATTTTTTTTTGACAATCTGGTCCATTAAAGTGAAAAGGGGATTGGACAAATGTGAGCTTATCTTCGCCATTTAAAAGCTACCGTTAAAGCTTGATTTTCATTTGTTTTTGTCCAGTTCATTGGGATTTCCATGAGGCGTTTAATTTCTCAGAGCATTTAACCTACAATCATCATTAACATCCCAGCAAAGAATGTGGCAAACTAATGAATCCTCTGTATCTATTCCTTTCACAGACAAACACTCTGGGTCTGTAGTTACACATCTGACTTCACTCTGTGTGCAGTGAATTAAATGAATTTCTATTATTGCTCTAAAAGAGGCATCAGCATCAGAGGTATGCCTCCATTTCCTTTCTCCTACCTGTACATCCCCTGAAGTTCCTGTAGTTAGTAATATGACTCCATCTCTTTCTGTATTCCCACTAGTTAGAAATATGACTCCCGTCTTTCTGTGATTTCTGCTCTCTCCTGCAGTTAAAGATATGTCTCCAACCTCTCAGTAATTGCTGCCTGATGAGGGTCTTCCTGAGGCGATGTGAGACTCATCAGTCTCTGGGCCATCGGCACTCCCCCAGCCGCGCGTCTCCATAGCATAATTTGTCATCCTGATGGAGAGCTAATCTGACAGGATGTCTGCCCACAGACAGAGAAGGCGAGATATTTTGTCTGTACGTATCCTTTTTTTTCCCTGCACTGACTGTTTCTCTGTTTGTCTGACTCTCATTTTCTCGCTGCCTCTGTATACCACTTATCTGCCTCAATCTATCTCTCTGTGAGCGGTGTGGTTCAGCAGGTGTCTGCCCTTGTAAACCGCCCTAATAAAAATCCTGGGATTTGACAATCTGTCTCTGGAAATATGCTTTTGCTCCCCAACGACAGCTCTCTTTTTTTTTTTTCCCTCATTCCATTTCCTTTCTCAGTTCTGTTTAGTCTCTCGTCAGACATTTATCTCCTTTTATGGATCTGTTTTCATCTTGTCTTTTCTTAAATGCACTTAAATGTCATCTTTGACAACATCTATGAATTTGTGGTATTAAAAAGACACAAAATGCACAGCATGAAAGAATATTCACGTCTTGTTCATTTGAGACTGCTGAGAGGAAGGTAAACAGGAGAATGAAAGGAATATTCACTCAAAATCGAAAGTTCTGTCATCATTTATTCACCTTCATGTCGTTCTAAACCTGTATGACTTTCTTTCTTCTGCTGAACACAAAAGGATGCACTTTTTTCCATACCATTGAAGTGATAGCTCAAAACTTTCTACTTTCAGACGAATACAATAGGAGTTATATTAAAAATGTTCTGGCTCTTCCAAGCTTTATAATGGCAGTGAATGGGGGGTCAAGATTTTGAAGCCCAAAAAAGTGCATGCATCCATCATAAAAATACTCCACACGGATCCGTGGTGTTAATAAATGCCTTCTGAAGCAAAGCAATGCGTTTGTGTAAGAAAAATATCCATATTTAAAACTTTATAAACCGTAATCTCTAGCTTCCGCTAACTGTCGTATGCGCGAACACGAGAGAGTGGCGTCCAGCAGATGACATAGGACGTAGCTGTAGCTGTAAAATATGTATTTTTATTATGGATGGATGCACTTTTTTGGGCTTCAAAATCTCAACCCCATTCACCCCCATTCCAATTCAGATGTATACCTATATGGCTTGAGGGTGAGTAAATCATGGGGTAATTTTCATTTTTGGGTGAACTATACCTTTAAAGCAAAAAGTGACAAATAGCATCATAAAAGTAGTAATTATGAGTGATTTGCTTTTGTGGTTTACATGCAGAAACATTCTTGGAAACATTTTGGAGGTGTCCTCAATCAGCTTGTTTTTGGTCAGATTTCTGTTCATTTATTAAGGATCACATCATGCCCAGTTTTCAGTCGTTTCATGTCTTGCTTATCTTGTCGTATGACATGTCTTAAAATAACCAATGTAGTGTAATTAATTGCTAAATCTATTAGATAAATCTAGTATAAATAAATGTAAAAATGAGGGGAAATAAACCATTGGTTTTAATTTTGATGACAGAAGTTCAACAAAACCTAAATACAAATTTAGGTTACAAAAAAAAATGTCTTTTACATAAAAGCTGTAAAATATTTTTTAATCTTACTTTTCTTATGTTTATTTCCATCATTTTTTCCGTTCATTCTAATGAACTCCCCTTTGTATTTGTAAATCTTTAAATATGAGTGACATATTATATTTTCTGAAGCACTGTGATAGAGCTGTGCAAGAAAGAGACCAGCACAACTCGTGTATGCCTTTAGAAGACTTCGAAAATAGAACACCATTCATATGGACTACTGTTATGATGCCTTTATGGTGCTTTTTGTGATTTCTGGAGATCATTGTACGGAAAAGAACAGCATCCACATTCTGCAGAACATCTTGCCTTTTTGTTAGACAAAAGAAAGAAATGGTTTAGAAAAACATGAGTGCGAGTAAGTGACCACCAAATGTTTCAACTCTGTGTGTGTATTTTTGTGTTTGTACTTACATTTCTGAAATCCAGTGTTCATCTGCAAGTGGGGGTGGAGCTGAAGGGAGAGATCACCTGGCCCTGGCAGACAGGCCAGCATCTCATACACACACACTCACTCACACACACACACTCACACCCACACCCACACCCACACACACACACTCACTCCTAGAGCAACATGGGCCACACACTCCTCCTCACACTCTAGAGAAAAAAGAGAGAGAAATGAGATGTTACAGCAAGCACCTCAGTATGAAGTTCAAGCCCAACAACGTGTCTGAACCCAGAACAACATTTTGTCATTAACTATGTCTTTCTATCACAGCAGTAAAGCACAGTGAACTCTCATCGGCCTAAAATAGCTGTTAAACATCAGATATGTTTTCAATAGCTGTGATTAGGTGGAGTTATACAGCATTTTTTTTTCTCGCTAATTGAAATAAATCTGAAATAAAATAAAATCTAAAAACGTTAGATACATTTTTTTAAACAAATAAATTAGAAATGTTGCCTTCCTCTAAAAGTTGAAGTACTAAAATTACAACTGAAATAATAAAAACAAAAGCTAATTCAAAATATGAATAAATACTATAAAAAAGCTAAATAGAAATATTTATAATAAAATTACAACTGAAATTACAAAAACAAAAGCTAATTCAAAATATTAATAAATACTATAATAGCATATAATAGCAAAACAACACTGGTTGTGCTACACCTCGCTAGGACACAGTGTTTGTATAAATGCTTTTCAGATTTAGATTATTAAAAGCTTTCACAGTACCACAGTACAGAACAAAGTCCAAAATACAGAAAGACAGTAATTAGACATTAATAAAGTATTAATAAAAAGCTATACACTAAAAAATTTATGTATAAACATAAATGAACAAAATGATAAAACATATCTGAAATGCAAACTTTTACATTTATGTGGTCTGTGAACTGAAGGTTGCCTAAAGTCTTCATTATTGTTGATAAAAATTTAAATTAAAAAAACTTTAGTCAACAAACATGTCAGTAATTTGATTTTCAACAAAATTATATTCAAAACAAACTAATTAAAAATGTCTCTCTTGCCCTCAGAAAATCATGCTTTAAAAGGGATGGCGTGCATTAAAAGCTTACTGTTAGAAAAGGTGCAAAGCTAAATGACTCACAATCATGTTCTGGATCATTTTCCAACATAACAGGAGCAATGAGACAATTACCATCTTTCAGTTTGACACACATTTTCACTGCATTCATTAAAACGCAGCAGGTCTTCTAATCAAGTGTGTCACAAGGAATGCATCCAAACATCAATGCAAATGTGCGATTGAGTGCAATTTCACACATATTTATGTAAAAAATGAATTGCATGGCAAACAGATTTTCATTGCAAATACAAAAAGAACCAGCAATAAACTCAGCTATGATAGCTTCAAAGCTTTGGATTCGCATCAATGAATCAACCAACCTATAAATCAAGTGAAACTTAGGAAATCAAAATATCCTTTTTTTTTCCATCCTTTGTCAATTCAGAGCAGCAAAAACCCCTCATGTACCTTTCCATTCCAAACCACTCTCACTAATCGTACAGCAGCAGGCAAAACACACTTAATATCAAATCTGAGGTTCAATTTAACATCAAACATACCAGCCAGAGTGCTCTGACCGTGCCCCAGGTGCTTCAAGTATCTCTCCTCACCTCCACATCTTTAGCCCGTCTTCTCGCATGAATGGTGTGATCTAAGGTGACCTTTGCTAAATTCCAAACTTTCACATTTTAATTTTTTACTTCAGCAAGGCGAGAATCATACCACTGAGAACATTTCCGACACCTCAACCATCAGTCATTAAACACAATGAGTTTGTGCGATTGTGTGGGCATAAATCCACATGCACAGAATGGGAGGAATTGTCCTGACCAGCTGTCAATGCGACAGGATGTTTCGTTGATTGCTTTTTTTTTTTTTATATCTACCGGATAGCGCTGTCCATCTGTGAAATGTGATTCAAACTATTCTCTATATAGAGTGCAACAGTGCCTGTCCACTTTTTTAGCAGCCTTGATGATTTCGGAAATATTTTTACTACAGGGATTTTTTAAAAACACATTTTGTTTAAGATTTATATGCCATGATCAAAAACAACAGCCCCTAAAAACAAACTCATTGTAATTTCAAATCTTTACCAATCTTTGCCACTATCCTTCAAACCACTAAGTTTTAACCATTTGTCAGCAAGAAGTTTTTAATCATTTAAAATACAATAACATTTAGTATGCTCACTTTTTCTTTTATGTATTTTAAAGTACATGTCAGAATAAGTATGTTGTTACATTTTTACATAAATATATCTGTTACGCTGAATTATTTTACCCATATTTTGACATTTTATTTTCATAAAAGTTATTTGAAACATGAAAAGACACTTGCATTTAATATGTATATAAAATCACTACTGTAAATTTAATTTGATGTGGACATGAAAATGGGATGCCTTGCCTTTGACCCTTAAAGACGTTGATTCTGTATATTGAAATAATTTAAATTTATTGCAAAATAAGCATATTAGTATGGAGACTGCAATAACAATAGACTGAACATCAAATATCTTCTGATGAGCTATGATATCGTCTGGTGATTTGTGGTGAGAAACTTTGCATACAGCCATGTACTACATCCTCTCACTACACACTGACACCAGAAAAAAACAATGTATTAAAACATGTATAAGCAAATATACAGTTCAGACAAGAAGCAATTATGCACCAAACAACTATGATAGGGCAGCACAAGGCCAGCCAGCCAAAGCTGGGAGAGAGAGCAAGAAATAAAGAGTTAGTATGTGGTGAAAGGTCATGATGGCAGCTCATTAAAATCCTGCCAGTGCACTAACAACACAGCAGGGCCTGATACAGACATACTCGCGCTCTATCAGATTTACCTGAGGAAGAGTTCTAATCTGAAAGTCAGTGAACTGCCTACTGTCTGCATAAGCTGCTGTCTTCTGAGTGAGCTTTATGAATGACTGATTAGCCACTCAAATAGTGTTCCACATGTGAGACTTGACCCAAAATGGACTTCAATAGTCTGCCGTCAGCATAAGCAGGGTTGGGAGGGTTACTTTTAAAATGTATTCAGTTACAGTTACAAATTACTTCATTAAAACAAGTATTCAGTAACGTAATCCAAGTACCACAATATAAAAGTAATGTAATCTGATTACTTTTGCATTACTTCAAGTTACATATGTAAATAAGTCATAAGTAATAGTAAGTAAGTAATAGTTAAGCCTGCATTTCAGCCCGGGCCGACTTTTTTACGCCGGGCTTCGGGCCAATTTTCACGTCATAGTTCAGACGCGGGCCAGGGTTTTAGGCTTCTCCTTACGCCCCATTCACATGGGGCGTCAGCGTTAGCGCTTGACGGAGGGCGTTTCTGAAGCTTGGTGCTGACGGGACCGTCATAGTGACAATAGCCAATCACATTAGTCTTCTGGTGTTGTGCGTTGGTGCTTGAAAAGTTGAAAAGTTTTCAACTTCTGCCGCGAGCAACGGACCCAACGCGACGCGACGGACCCACAATTCATTTCGCCAACGCTTGACGTCACTCCATTCAAAGTAAACGAGAGGCGTTGACACTGACGCCCCGTGTGAATTATTTTTATATTTTAGACATCCATCAATTAGTGATGGAAACATTTTTTTTGCCGCGCTGGTGGAAACAACACGAGACCGTGCTACTGCGGCTGTCAAGAGCGGCTCGACCGTGTTTATGCCTCATTCACACGGGGCGTCAGTGTCAACGCCTCTCGTTTACTTTGAATGGAGTGACGTCAAGCGTTGGCGAAATGAATTGTGGGTCCGTCGCGTCGCGTTGGGTCCGTTGCTCGCGGCAGAAGTTGAAAACTTTTCAACTTTTCAAGCACCAACGCAGGCGTCAGCCAATCAGATCACCTTATGCAAATACCCTGGTTCAGACGCTAGCCAATCGCGATCATGCAACAACAGAAAACTAATGTGATTGGCTGTTGTCACTATGATGGTCGCGTCAGCACCAAGCTTCAGAAACCA